GTACTTTCATTTGTCTGTCAGTAATTAATCTAAACAATATGAATATTCTTATTATTTATTCAGGACAATAATATTAGTGGGAACAACTGCTTTCAATAGCTTCGTTAGGCAGTCGAGTTTTAAATCCAGTCATAAACACACAATTACTACTATTTTATTATTATTGCCTGTTACCTCTTGAACTTACATTCAGCTCACTCCCCTTGTTTGTTTCTTTGTTATACAATATTCGTATTTCCTCTCACGCTACTGATGACAAATCACCCCTTAAAGTCTAAACTTTTATTGATTATAAACTTCCCATGAGTTATGAAAGAAATGAAAGATGTTTATTTCGCCCTCCCCCCTTACTACTCTGCGATAGGCTGCTACACATTGTAATACAGTCTCTGAAGACAAATTCGTCGATGAAGAAATTTCTTTCATCATTAGGTTCGAAATTCACAAATACGTCACCAACTTATTTAATCTGGTTTCGCCTCATGTTCTCACTAACCATGACAATGAAAATTAACAGACTACAAACCCATCTTGTTCTTCTAACACATTGTAGTTTCTGACAGGATTTCAATTTTTGCACTTGATAGATGTTTTGTGTTGACATCAGTGGATTTATAACTGTGGAACTTGAATGAGCTATTGAAAACAGTTGTTCACACTTGTTATTGATTTGATAGGTCAGCACTGATTGCGTTCCATGTCAACTGTCATAAACCAGCGACGTAACTATTTCTGAAAAATAAACACAGATAACTTCATTGGATAATTTTTCCCCTCCAGCTTCCTCCACAGTCTTACACTCGTGTGAACAAACCCATTCCACTATTGAGGTACTATCTTAGTGCTGACATAGTCAGTGCTATGCGTGGATGTCGCATGAGCAAATCAGATGCAAATTTTCAGGGTTGTGAAATAATGATTTTAGTGTTTTTATGCAAGCAAAGCATTCTTAACAAAATAATCAAGATAAAAGGAGAGAAAAGATAGATAATGACTCATATATATATATATATATATATACATCAGCGGATTGTAATCGAATATGTTGAAAACCACAAATATAAAATAGAGAATGAACGAAAGTCGGAATGTTGCGTAGTTGTTGAAAGTGAGTAGTTGTTATTAGATGGTTGTAGGCAATTGGCAGGAAGCCTTGGACCTAGGTTTCATGCTAGTTGGCACTCACCAGTAGTCAGTCAGCAAAGCGTATCTGCAACCTTCAAGGGACTCATGTCCCTTCTGAGATTCAAACCCGCATAACCCAGTGCCGCAGTTTACACCAAACAAAGAACTTAACCCATCACAGTAGTTACTAGTGTCCAATCAAAGTGACTAATTGTAGTAGGTTGCAAAAATTTACTAAGCAGTGGAATGCATAAGAAAGACAACTAAAGAAGAATGGGGTAGGAGGTTAAGATATTTATTTTGTGCCTTTAGGAAAAATTGTAAGTTATATTTTAAGTGTAAGCTACTACTGCTACTATCGGAGTCATCTGAAAACCTTGATTTGATTGCTTCTTTGTTGATTGCTTCCTGGAAAGAAGTTTATTAGCAGGATGAAAAGCAGTGATTCACCTTATGCACCTAGTTACTGTTTTATCTCATGAAACCCTCTCAAATACCAAGACAAATTAGTGTCTTAAACAGTGATCTGTTGATTGTAGGGACTATTAGAATTTGGACTAAACCCTGAACCCAGCAGCCGTGTGTTCACAACTCACAGTGTCATCCACTGGACTACTGATTCATGGCTGTCACGCTTACGATTCCACTTGGCGACCACTAATGAAAACCATTTAGTAGACAATGCCAATTTCGCATACTAAGAGGCTGTCAAGTAGCAGAAAGTGATTTGTCTTGCAGGTCCCCATCGTAACAGACCGGAAAAGAAAATGATGATAACGAAAAACATTTCACTTAAAGCCAAAAATTAAATCATCTATTAATGTACACAATAATGTGGACAGATGACTCAACACCTGTCCCAGACTTCCGAAAAATCTCCCTTTCCTATGACTAATGGTAAGGAAGGACGAGAGTCAAGTTTCGAAACTGTGTAGTAACGATTGATATGATTATGAACAATACGTTGTGTCCAAAACGTCATCCAGTAAATAATACTGTTTCATTGTGTGATACATCCAATGAATAAATAATTGAGGAAAGTAAACGTCCGTGTAAAATACTAGTATTTCAGTTGACACATCGCAGTCAGGTTTGCAAGCGAAAATTGTATTTCGTGCCCACATGCTTCCATCTCCTCTTCGTATGACCTCCTCCATGTCCCCCTCAGACTGCTAATTCGCCCCTTCCAATTTGGGTTCCACCCGACAGCCTGGAATGTGATATCACTTGATGGTTAAACAATATCTAAAACATGCTGAATTCAACTGATTGGTTATGAAATTGATTTATCTTTACCGGTTTAGTAACTTAAAAATGTGAATAGGTATACTTAACAATGTATAATCTAAACAATTTTTCCCATATAGGCTTCATTCAAAAGTCAAATTCGATTAATAAGTTTTGTCTGTTTTTGGATGAAGCAAGAACGACAGTTTGTGCAGAAAAAAATGGTACCAACATTTATTTCGTTGGTTTCCCATCAGCTGCTTACACCCTAAAGATATTACTAAGTTTATGTACAGAAACAGTATTGACATATTTATACAGGGAGTTCCCTTTTAAACAAAAAATCAATATCTGCACATAATGGTAATAATAATCAGCGGTAAAAATAGTACAAATAATAAGAAATTCAAAGCTATATGAAGAGGAAGTATCGGGCGCCCTATTTAAGATTCGTAATAAAACCGAAATAAGGGTGTCGCTAAAACCAGCAAACTCACTCAGAAACAAGCTTTTCTGTCTTAAGGACCTAATAGGAAAAAAACTAATATGACTATATAATACACCATGTAATGACTAAGAGGTCAATCACACAGGTGAAACTTGCAGTTTCGTGTCAGTTAGATTATCAGAATTTAACTATATTGAAAATGGATGACCCTAATAAGCTGAATAATCCAGAAAAAATGTTCAGAAATCGAAATGACTTGCATGTAATCACACAATAGGGTGGGTTAAGGTAAACGTATAATAATATAACAGTGAGGGGGTGAGAGAGGTGAGTCACAGAATGTTTGTTCATCGAGTCAACACCAAACACGTGCAGTCGAAATGGTGCAGCAACTATACCGGATATACAGAAATTTGACATATAAAACAGAATTAAATCAGGAGGACACTTGAACATGTTGATGTGAATATGAATTGCTCTCAGAGGGTCATCTAGTTATAAAGACTGAATCACCGTGTCTTACAGCGAATGAATTTGACTAACATGGAATTATATTCTAACACAGTTCCCCAATTCATCTCAGATATTGCTTTAAAAAAATAACTCCCAAAAATACACAGTTAGAGATTATTGTGAAAATTAAAGCTATTCTCCAGTAATCAAAATCAATGAAAATCAGGGAGGTGCAAGGAACTCCAACTGAGTATGAAATTACGTTACACAGACCCATTACTCATGAGTCTCAAGCAATGAAAAAACAGTTAGTTTTCGACACCAGTGGTGCACAAACTGAAGCTTGCCTCCAATGGAAGCTTACCCTAAAATAATGAAATCACCCAAGACCAAGATTTCGAATACTATCCAATATGATCAAGACTGTCTCCGTTCATATCGTGTTAAGTCCCTTAAGTCCTTAACTGCTTTGCACTGGTTCTTTTTTATAACTGACAGTAATGCATTTGAACACAATTTTCCATAAAATGATGAGTGAATCTGCACTAGGAAACCCAAATGTCTACTCAAAGAAACTACTGTTTGTCATGTGGTCTGGATAATCTTTATTGTTGAACTGACAAAACTGAATTTTTTACTTCACTCATTCATTCCCCTTAATGAATTTGAATGAAGCAAGAACAGCAATTTGTGCAGAATAAAATGGTACCAACATTTTTTTCGTTGACTTCTCATAAACCGCATACAGTCTAAAGAAACTATTAAGTTTACGTACAGAACTTTTTAACTTGCTTACAAATGTCACATTATGTCAGTTCACAGGAGACTATAGACTTAATAAAGAGTGCTCAGAAAATTACACTTATATAATTTGCACCCAGAGAGTTCGAGTTTAAACAAACACAAATGTTTGCATACAGTGGTAAAAGAGTTACGTGATAAAGACAAGATGTAAGTAAGATGATGAGTAACCGATAAACTGAAAAAACAATATAGTGAGTTCAACTCAAATTATGGAAACAAGAGA